TATTTTTTTTTCTTAAAATTACTAATTACTAAATTCTAATAAATAATAAAAATCTTGTATCTCATGTAACAATATACTTTTGTTTTTAAAAATTTTGGTGTGATTTTTGWTTATGTGGTTGTAGTTAGTTCCCYGGTTAATWAATAAAATTCAAAAACATTAAGTCRCTAGATAGTGACACGTAGTGTTCATGGGACATGACTATTCCCTGCCCGGTCATTAAGAGCACGGATTCCATTACCAAGTTGCCAGACCTAATAATCTAAGACCCTGGTTACGGCCTATGAATAATTATGCAACAAAATGTATCGCGCATGAACATATAGCATCACGCATGCGCACATCGAACAGCTAATTCAAAGACTCGTCGCTAATATATCGGCTTCAAAATACGCTGTAGCTCCATCCATAGCAWAAKATCTAAGYACCCACCTGAATATTAAACAAAAATGAAAATTGTTTTTCCTATATGCACACTTTAGAGGTTTAAGAATATGTGTAGGTATTATTATTAGGTATCATATATAATTATTATACATTTACACAAATTATCCAGTCTCTATACTATTTAAGATTAGAATTCGTACGAAAATAGTGATTAAAATAGCACCTCGTTGTTTGGGATGGCATATAAATTAATTGGTAATATCAATAACACCTCAATAATTTAATATAGAACCTCAAATAAAGTATAKGAGTTTTTTTTTCTTGAACTGGTTCGTGTTCAACCTTGTTTACATAGAGAGCAAATGTATTTTATATTCAATTGAAAAATTCTACTGTCGTGTTTCATAATACGCCAATGGGTATAGATTGTATAAAATTAAAAATTAGAAGTTTGGCATGATAAAATAAAAATTATTGTGAAATTTGAATTAAATTATAATTGTCTGTTAATGAGTTATCAAATATTAAGGCGGAGCCCCCTCCTCCCAAGGCATGTATCTTCGAGAAGTACATATATTATTAATATTTAGACCCCTCCTAACTCTTAAAGATAAAAAGCTTAAGTCACGCTTAGTAAAATTAAATTAACAATTCAAATTGTATGCTTAAAAATATTTTTCCAATATCGTATCTTATATAACTACATTAACTCTAAAT